TATTCCCTTAGCTATTTATGCATTATTGCAGTACTTGTATGTTTATTTTTATAATTATTTTTATAATTATTTGTCCAATGTATCTGAGTTATTTGAGCAATAAAACTTATTTGAATTTGAATTTGAATTTGAATTTGAATTTGAAGGATAACATATCGCATACATGTACGCATCACGGTGGTTTAAAGAATGTCTGAATTAGAGAATTAGAGAAGGCGAAGCTGTCTCTATTACACACACAGTTCTATCGTCTATTGTAATGACGGCATATATCTTGTATATTCTAAAATAAATATCATCGAGAAAAACACACGTCTACTGATAAGAATTTATTACAGAAACCTCTGCTGAGATACCCCTCACCATACTAAATGCATTTTAATTACAAAATCTAACTCTTCTGGTGAGATATTGTGCATGCGCTAAATCAGTAACGTATAGCCAGGTTATGTACTGAATGGTATATGCAGCGGGGAACTTACATGCAAGGTAAGTCCCTCGTTCAGCCTCCTTCTTCTTCTACCGTTCCCAGCTATCTTCCCTGCCGCCTTTCCTCAGTCTCCCATCCCCTCTCCCCCGCAGCAAGCTATATTATGAAGTTTCCCTCAGACGGCACTGCACGCCTAACACGGTGCGCGCGCATGCGCAATATCTCCCGAGAGCAATCGTATTTTGCAAAGTTTATGCATTTAAAATGAAGAAGAGTTATCCTAGCATAGATTTATATAATAACATTCTATCAGTAGACATCATTTATTAAATAAGAGGAAGACCTTGCATGAAAGCTCCCTGCTGCGTATACCAGCCAGTACACAATCTGGCTACGTTAGTATTTGAGCGCATGCGCAACATCTCACCAGAGGAGTTATATTTTGTGATGAATATGCATTTAAAATGGTTAAGGGGTATCTCTGCATAGATTTCCCTAATAAACTTTTATCAGTAGATCTGTGTTTATAATTAGGAGGGCGCCCTAGCATGTAGGGCACAAAACACCTACTTTATGCCCTCGCGTCCTACCCCTTGCCTCCCCTGTCCCTCGCTCAACCTCCTTCTTTTTCTACCGCCCCCAGCTATCTTCCCTGCTGAATTTTCTCAGTCTCCCATCCCCTCTCCCAATCAGCAAGCTATATTATGAAGTTTGCCTCAGACGGCACTGCACGCAAAACACGGTGCGCGCGCATGCGCAATATCTTCCGAGAGAATCGTATTTTGCAAAGATTATGCATTTAAAATGCAGAGGCGTTATCCTAGCATAGATTTATATTAAAACATCTCATCAGTAGACATCATTTAAGAAGTAAGAGGAAGACCTTGCATGTAAGGTCCCGGCTGCGTATACCATCCAGTACACAATCTGGCTACGTTAGTGTGTTAGCACATGTGCAATATCTCACCAGAGGAGTTATGTTTTGTGATGAATATGCATTTAAAATGGTTAGGGGGTATCTCAGCATAGACTTCCCTAATAACCTTTTATCAGTTGACTTGTCTTTATAATTAGGAGAGCGCCCTAGCATGTAGGGTACAAAACACCTACGTTATGCCTTCGCGTCATTCCCCTTGCCTCCCCTGTCCCTTGCTCAACCTCCTTCTTCTTCTACCGCACCCAGCTATCTTCCCTGCCGCATTTCCTCGGTCCCCCATCCCCTCTCCCCCTCAGCAAGTTATATTATGAAGTTTGCCTCAGACGGCACTGCACGCTTAACACTGTGCGCGCGCATGCGCAATATCTCCCGAAATAAATCGTATTTTGCAAAGATTATGCATTTGAAATGAAGAGGAGTTATCCTAGAATACATTTATATGATAACATTCCATCACTAGACATCATTTAAGAAATAGGAGGAAGACCTTGCATGTAAGGTCCCGGTTGCGTATAGCAGCCAGTACACAATCTGGCTACGTTAGTGTGTTAGCACATGTGCAATATCTCACCAGAGGAGTTATATTTTGTGATGAATATGCATTTAAAATGGTTAGGGGGTATCTCAGCATAGACTTCCCTAATAACCTTTTATCAGTTGACTTGTGTTTATAATTAGGAGAGCGCCCTAGCATGTAGGGTACAAAACAAATACATTATGCCCTCGCATCCTTCACCCTGCCTCCCCTGTCCCTCGCTGAACCTCCTTCTTCTTCTACCGCCCACAGCTATCTTCCCTGCCGGATTTCCTCAGTCTCCCGTCCCCTCTCCCCCTCAGCAAGCTATATTATGAAGTTTTCCTCAGACGGCACTGCACGCCTAACACGGTGCGCGCGCATGCGCAATATCTCCCGAGAGAAATGTTATTTTGCCAAAATTATGCATTTAAAATAAAGAGGAGTTATCCTAGCATATATTTATATGATAACGTTCCATCAGTAGACATCATTTAAGAAATAGGAGGAAGACCTTGCATGTAAGGTCCCGGTTGCGTATACCAGCCAGTACACAATCTGGCTACGTTAGTGTGTTACCACATGCGCAATATCTCACCAGAGGAGTTATATTTTGGGATGAATATACATTTAAAATGGTTAGGGGGTATCTCAGCATAGACTTCCCTAATAAACTTTTATCTGTTGACTTGTCTTTATAATTAGGAGAGCGCCCTAGCATGTAGGGTACAAAACACCTACTTTATGCCTTCGCGTCCTTCCCCTTGCCTCCCCTGTCCCTCGCTCAGCCTCCATCTTCTTCTACCGCCCGCAGCTATTTTCTCTGCCGCATTTTCCCAGTCTCCCATCCCCTCTCCCCCTTAGCAAGTTATATTATGAAGTTTGCCTCAGACGGCACTGCACGCTTAACACTGTGCGCGCGCATGCACAATATCTCCCGAGAGCAATCGTATTTTGCAAAGATTATGCATTTAAAATGAAGAGGAGTTATCCTAGCATAGATTTATATGATATCATTCCATCAGTAGACATCATTTAAGAAATAGGAGGAAGACCTTGCATGTAAGGTCCCGGTTGCGTATACCAACCAGTACACAATCTGGCTACGTTAGTGTGTTAGCACATGCGCAATATCTCACCAGAAGAGTTATATTTTGTGATGAATATATATTTAAAACGGTTAGGGGGTATCTCAGCATAGACTTCTTTAATAAACTTTTATCAGTTGACTTGTGTTTATAATTAGGAGAGCGCCCTAGCATGTAGGGTACAAAACACCTACTTTATTCCCTCGCGTCCTTCCCCTTGCCTCCCCTGTCCCTCGCTGAACCTCCTTCTTCTTCTACCGCCCCCAGCTATCTTTCCTGCCGCATTTCCTCAGTCTCCCATTCCCTCTCCCCCTCAGCAAGTTATATTATGAAGTTTGCCTCAGACGGCACTGCACGCCTAACACGGTGCGCGCGCATGCGCAATATCTTCCGAGAGCAATCGTATTTTGCAAAGATTATGCATTTAAAATGCAGAGGAGTTATCCTAGCATAGATTTATATGATAACATTCCATCTGTAGCTGTTATTTAAGAAATAGGAGGACGACCTTGCATGTAAGATCCCGGCTGCGTATACCAGCTAGTACACAATCTGGCTACGTTAGTGTGTTAGCGCATGCGCAATATCTCACAAAAGGAGTTATATTTTGTTATGAATATGCATTTAAAATGGTTAAAGGGTATCTCAGCATAGATTTCCCTAATGGATTTTTATCTGTAGACCTGTGTTTAGAATTAGGAGAGCGCCCTATCATGTAGGGTACAAAACACATACTTTATGCCCTCGCGTCCTACCCCTTGCCTCCCTTGTCCCTCACTCAGGCTCTTTCTTCTACCGCCCCCAGCTATCTTCTTTGCCCCCTTTCCTCAGTCTCCAATTTCCTCTCCCCCTCAGCGAGCTATATTATGAAGTTTTCCTCAGACGGCACTGCACGCCCAATACAACACGGTGCGCGCGCATGCGCAATATCTTTCGAGTGCAATCGTATTTTGCAAAAATTGTGCATTTAAAATGAAGAGGAGTTATCCTAGCATAGATTTATGATAACATCTCAGCAGTAGACATCATTTAAGAAATAAGAGGAAGACCTTGCATGTGAGGTCCCGGCTGCGTATACCAGCCAGTACACAATCTGGCTACGTTAGTGTGTTAGCGCATGCGCAATATCTCACCAGAGGCAGGGGCGTGTACAGGATTTGTACCAGGGGGGGGGGGTCTAACCGTAACCCAAACTTGCGAGCACGCGAAGGGAGGGCCTGGGGGGCCCTCCCCCAGAAACATTTTGAAATTAGACCCCCTTAGATGCGTTTTCTGCGCGAGCAGGGGGGATCCGGACCCCCTGGACCACCTCCCCTGTACACGCCCCTGAGAGGAGTTATATTTTGTGATGAATATGCATTTAAAATGGTTAGGGGGTATCTCAGCATGTGAATATAACTTACCAACGACTAGTTCAGGTAGATCTACTTTCTCTGGGAAACTTCGGAGTTTCTCTTGCTCCAGAAATTCATCTAGTGTCGACGGAGGCAAGGGGATGTTCACTTTTTCCTTGACTTCTTCTTCTGACTCCATCTTGTCGGTGCCCGTTATTTTAGCGAGAAGAGCAAGCATTTCGGCTTTGGTATCCATAGTTAATGAATTGATGATGTTACAGGTCAGACTATCATAGAGCAGTATAAGCAATAATTAATAAACCATCTTTTACTAAGTGAACGTCGCTAGATTATTGCGAATTGTGCACAACTGAGCGATCATTAATCCAAACGTACGCGAGCACATATAAATCATTTTTGTGTGTATTTTTGATGCGCGAAACGATTTGAATTTTTATATCAAATGTTCCAACACCTGTGGTAACGTGAATGCGATTGTAAGGTAATGCAGTTGTAACTAAAATAAGGAAGAGCAAAAAGCCCAATTGAAAAAGTTAAAATAATATATGGTGAACAATGCAGGGCATTGTAGATTAGTCTATTGTTACTTTCGTTCTACTATAAAATTATGGAAAAAGGTCTTGCGTCCGCAACGGTGGCGATGATATTGACGATTACAACATGGTAGCCCCCATGGAATGAATGCAATACGCGATTGCATTGCGAATGTGCAACATTATTGCGCAAGGATTGCATCGTTCTAAGATTTGTCAAAGCAATCTATTTATGTAATTTTGTGTGTGTCCTATATATTTATCAAAATTTAACGTTTCTACATTTATACATAGTGGTACTTGCGTCATGATATTATTGTGCAATTTGTAAATGAAAAAGCGTGTTCTGTAAGCGTCACGTATGTGTGTGTGTTAACTGTTATCAGTATCACAATTAAACCTGGACCCGCAGTCAACATGCTAACGTAAACTTATTGAATTAGGGTATCAACTTACACATTTGGAGCATCATGCAGTAATAAGGTAATCACTGGCTATGTGCGTGCTGTGAACAACGCAACAAGACAGTGCACAGTGCACTGTGGGCAGTCCTGCCTAATACAGCAATAGTAATACCCTGACCCTAACCCTAACCCTAATCGTAATTCTAACCCTAACCCTAATCCGAACCCTAACCATAAGTCTAACCCTAAATATAGATATATATTTATTCATGTAGAGAATGCATCGAACACAACGGGAAGAATGTGCGTTCACGTGCGTTTTATCATATCTTGGTTATATATACCGCGCTGGCTATGACGACTGTATGCAGCCGCCGTCAGATGTTAGCAACGCGCGCCCAGCAACAGTGAGTGACACACAGATGTGCGCAGCGAACGGCAGCTGGCAGAAGGGGGGTGGGGGCGATTGCATATACATCACATGGCCGCGAGAGGGAAGTATATAGGGAACAGTCAACAGCAATGAAGGACTTTGTGGGCGTTGATTTATGGGTTTCCAAAAAAACAACAAATATCAACGGATTTCCAGGTAATTTACTGCGGAGAGCAAGTAGTATCAGTCCGTAAATGGCGCCCGCAAATACGCATATACATTTGAGGGCCGTAGCAGAGGAACATGACGGGAAATTCTTGCGCGTAGCAATGGTGAGAAACCGTCGGAAACGGGCGAGGTAGTGTCGCTTAAACGGAGTTTTTTCACACTTCCTATGGACTCACATAATGTTTCTCGGTCGAAATGAACAAACAACACCCTCAACAACACCCCTGTCGATTTTAAAGGGGCTACCCCCACATTTATGAAAATGACATAGGTCTCAATCTGGACATCATCTTTATCCTTGAACCGTTATCTCTGTCGGATATTTAGCTCTGTTTAGTACATTATTGTGAGATATTAGTGTGTTTGGTTCAGTACTGTAATGTATTTTAGTTTACTAAACTGTTTAGTATTAATGCCCATAAACCATAGTCATTATGACCCTAACTCTGACTGGCTAGTAGGGCTGTAACGATCCACCGAAATCGAATCGGATTGCGATTCTCTTCCCTCGATCCGATCCTCGATATTTTTCCCCGTATTTTTGATACCGCGTTGATACCACATTTTTCCTCCAATAGATGGCGGCACTACGCTATATACTGTGGAGTGTTACTCACCAATTTTACTCAGCGACTGTGCAGTGTATATATACCATAGAGATGTATAAATAGTATACATCTCTATGATATATACTCTCTAGACTCTCTAGTCTATTCACCATTTAGTACCGGTATTCATTGACAATTTCTAATAATTTATTATTGCAAAATAATGAAAATATAAAAAATAAGATAACATTTCAATATTTTGGAAATCGAATTGAAGGTATCGAATCGAGAGGCTAATATCGAGAACCAGATCGAATCGAGATGCTTGTGTATCGTTACAGCCCTACTGGCTAGTGTGGTGACTGCCCGCTAGTTCGAAGGCCCACGTACTAGTCCGAAGGTTCACTAGTCCGAAGGCCCATTAGTCCGAAGGCTCATTAGTCCGAAAACCAAGGGAGTGACTGCCCCCTAGTCCGAAGGCCCACGTACTAGTCCGAAGGCCCACTGGTCCGAAGGTTCACTAGTCCGAAGGCTCACTAGTCCGAAACACTCACAGGGGATGTAGGGGGAGGTGTGTGTGGGGGGGGGAGGTGTGTGGTTGTGTGGCAAAATGATAGACTCGGTAAAACCTTGTTATACCGCCCCTCGTAATACCGCCAATCTCATGTATCACCAGGAAAATTTAAATGCCAATGTACAGATCGTTTGTATCTATTTGTACGTAATTTAGCCTTGTAATACCGCCGCTCGTATATACCATAAAACAACATAATTCACACAATTTGCACATTTTTGGCTGTAGAAAATTTTATTTGTTCAGTTTTCTGAAAATACACAGCAGCATTTTAACCAGTGACAATGTATCTGCATGTCCATCTGCAGCATGATGTTTATGACGTTTATCTCTCTACTCTTCTGCTACTAACCATGACGTGGCGCCATCAATCAGCATACAATTTGCTAAATAATATCAGTGAAAATGTTTAGTTTTCCCTTCGGACTAGTGAGCCTGCGGACTAGTGAGCCTTAATTCGGACTAGTGGGTCTTCGGACTATAGTGAGCCTTCAGACTAGTGGGCCTTCGGATTATAGTGGGCCTTCGGACTGACGAGCTGTAACCGGCTAGTGTTCACCATCAGTCAATTCCTATTACATAGAACATTCAAGGATATCATAGAATATGCTCCAGCACACTGAGTTACCCGACAGGTATTTTGTCTCGCTTCCCTGTGTAATGTTTAGTATGCATAGCACGAGAAGGCGTAAGACATTAGGTAAACGCATTATCTTTATTCACGCACGGCGGGCAGAACCCCCTGCGCCGACCATTTACCGCCAGTCACAGACGTATCCATACTCGTAAGAAAACAGCGCAACATATGATATATGACACCCTGCAAGCAAACGACATATTTCTTGGTAGATAACAATAAGCAACACCCTGAAGAAGGCCCCTGTCGATTTTAAAAGGCGTACCCCCACATTTCCGAAAATGACGGCCGGGGGCCAAGCTATCCTTGATCCGGTAGGGCCATCTGTTTAGCCTTGGATTCACCACAGGGCTTTATACGTGACTATAAAATAACCGGGCAATACAGGGTGCTTATGCTATCGTTTGCATTCAATAAACATCCAAATTTAGCCCAATTATTGTTAGCTGAGTTTAAAATGGCTGGCTATAAACCCTACACCTTTATTTTGCCAGCTAAGGTCCACGGGGTATAGAGTATAGTCTGCTAAGCTATGCTGCAAAGATTCCTCACTTGGTTCCCTCATACACTCGTGTTTAGTTCTGTGGCAGATCGAAGGGCTGCATTGTTAGGGATATCTGATGACCTACTCTATATAACCACCAAACCATAACCCTGACCTAACCTAAGCCCAATCCAATCAAATACTTGTGCGCAGTTGTGAAATAAAATAAGATTAATATTTATTTATCTTAATATCTAATATAGTAATACTTATTTCATTTTATTTCTGTTTTCAGTAAAACTAGGACCCTGTAGGACTTCTAGGAGTCAGTAGGATTTTCAACGTTTGTATATATGCAAGACAACCACCACCATGCGAACTCTAAGTACGCAGGAATTAGCCACCCTGCAGAGGCAGCCGGAAAATATTCGAAACATCTGCATTCTCGCACATGTAGATCATGGTATGGAAACCTAGAAGTAGATGATGATAACTGTGATTTGCTGTTAAAGTCAGTAAACCTTCTGGTCGAAACACTGGAAAATTGTGGTGATTTTTTGTGTACAGTTATTAATGTACCGCCCACCTAGGAGGCTTAGTTCTATAATAATTCAACGACAATGTCAATTTGTCAATTTCAAAATGATAACCGAATAAGTGTCAGCATCATTGACAGGTGTGGAGAGAGAGAGCTAGTATATTTTGTATACTTATATATGTTTACCTATATCTTATGTGGCTGCATATTTCAGGAAAGACAACTCTAGCGGATGCTTTGATAGCTAGCAATGGAATCATATCTCACAGATTGGCTGGTAAAGTAAGGTATATGGACAGCAGACCAGATGAACAGGCGAGAGGAATAACAATGAAATCTAGTGCAATATCACTTAGTTTCACAAAAGGTTCGTATGCACTCATTATTGTTATAATGTTCTTATATATGCAGGAGTATGCATAGTCACTAATAAGTATTCACAAACAACTTTATAAATGCAAAAGTCAATCATGAGTTGAGCATAAATTCTGATTGTGGTTAATTATCCAAACGTGTAGGAACAGCATGTATTGACTCTATATGTGTGTAAATGTATTCAAGTTGCTATCACTCAAGCATGGTTAAAAAACAGTTGTAAATTAAACTCACATTGCAGATGAACAGAACTATTTAATAAATCTGATCGATTCGCCGGGCCACGTCGATTTCTCCAGTGAGGTCTCTACGGCAGTGAGACTCTGTGACGGTGCCATAGTTGTTGTAGATGTCGTCGAAGGAGTCTGCCCACAGGTCTGCTTCAATTTCTATCACGTTTACAACTCTCGTGTTTAAAATAGCAGAGATTTTAGATTAGTTTTTTAGATTTTGGAATTTATTAACGCTTTCATATATTACATAGTTACATACATCATAACGATTGTCAATAAATGCAGAGAATAGCATGTATAGAAATGTTAGCCTTCCATCTGATTAATAGATAGTCGTTCATTAATTTATACATTTTATCAGTTAACCTTATCACAATCACGTTTTGTGTTCACTATAGTGATTTCTTGCAATGAATCCCATAAAAATGTTTTCCACGGCTATAAGTAATTTACATGTATTGCCACACGATAATGATATTTCATTCAAACGCAAAATCTACTATGTGTGTACTTTACCGGTCGATTGCACCTCCCCTCCCCGCTCGAGCCATGACTAGATTTCGCCAGTAAGGTTTTGACAACGGCTGCGCTAATTTTATCTTAAAATGAATGCCGCACGTATTTCACCGATCGATTCCCCTTCTTAGCCCCCCTCCCAGCAGATTTCGCCGGTGAGGTTTTCGTCAGCTGCCGCACCCAACACGTCCTAAAGCGAGCTGCCATGGCCGGCTGACCCCCTGTTTTGATTGTCTTCTCTTCTCCTGCAGACGAAGGTCTTGCTGTGTCAGGGCGTGGCTGGAGCGCATCTCACCCCCTGTTTTGATCGTGTTTCTCTTCTCCGGCAGACGAAGGTCGTGCTGCGTCAGGCGTGGCTGGAGCGCATCAAGCCCGTGCTCGTTCTCAACAAGATCGATCGGCTGATCACCGAAGTGAAGCTGTCGCCGCTCGAAGCCCACCGGCACCTACAGCAGATACTCGAGGACGTGAACGCCGTCACGGGCGAACTGTTCATGTCGACGTGCACGAGCAGCGTGCGACCCGGTGGCGCCACCCGCAAACAGTGAGCAGACGATACGACAGGCAACGCAGCGTGAGGTGCAGAACGACGAGAGAGATGAGCAGGTGGGACGTGTATTGCACGAAGATACAGTACGCACGTCTATTACCCCGAAATTCTGAAAACCGAAAGTTTGGTGTTGGAATTGTGCACACATGTGCGATGGGGGGGTTTTAACGCTGTTCTCTTCTATTCCATTAAATTATGTTCCATTCCATTTTGTTGTATTCTATTCCATTTCATTCCATCCCATTTTACTCTATTCCATTCCATTCCATTCCATCCCATTTTACTCTATTCCATTTCATCCCATTTTGCTCTATTTCATTCCATCCCATTTTACTCTATACCATTCCATCCCATTTTACTCTATTCTATTCTGTTCCATTCCATTTTATTCTAGTCCATTCCATTCCATTCCAACCCTTTTTATTCTATTCCATTTCATTTTGTTCTATGCTATTCAATTTCGCTTCCTGCCATTCTCCGTGTGATCGCGCTAACCCCCCGCCTCCTCCCTCACCGCAGGTGTATGACTGGAGCACGGGTCTGGAGGAGACCGATGACAGCCACCTGTACTTCTCGCCCGACCAGGGCAACGTCATCTTCGCGTCGGCCATCGACGGCTGGGGGTTCGGAGTCGAGCAATTCGCCGTGCTGTACGCGCGTAAGCTCGGCGTGCGTGAGGACGTGCTGCGACGCACGCTCTGGGGCGACTACTACCTGAACTCGAAGACGCGACGCGTGTGCCGCGGGGCGCTCGCTCGCGGCCGCATGCCGCTCTTCGTGCGCTGTGTACTCGCCAACGTGTGGGCCGTCTACGAGGCCGTGCTCGACGGGGAGGAGAAGGACGCAGCGGGGAGGATCGCGCGCGCGTTGGGTGCGAGCGTGCCGGCGCGCGACGCGAGACACGCGGACCCGCGCGTGCGCCTGCGCGCCGTGTTCGCCGCGTGGCTCCCCCTCGCGCGCGCCGCCCTCACCGTCGTCGTCACGCGGCTGCCGTCCCCGCGACAGGTCGGCACGGAGCGAGTCGAGCATCTGCTCTGCGCGCACGGAGAGAGACTTGACTCGACGCCGGCGGCGACGCAGGCGCTGCGCGACGATTTCCTGCGCTGCGGCAGCGGAGACGACACTCCGACGATCATTTACGTCTCGAAGATGTTTGCCGTCGAGCGCGCGGCGCTCGCCGAGTTCAAGCAGTGCCCCCTGACGGCGGAGGAGATCGCGGAGCGGCACACCGTCGCCCGGCAACGGCACACCGAGAGGCTGCGTGCTCGAGCGGAGGATGCTGCTTGCGGCGGCGACGAGGGAGCGATGGTGAACGGAAGCGCGGGAGAGGATGGGACGGCGTCGGCGGTAACCTTGGCAACGGACGCGGAGCCGGCGTTGACGGAAACTGCGGCGACAGATGAGAATGTGTTTCTGGCGTTTGCGAGAGTTTTTAGCGGGACTGTTCGTCCCGGCCAAAAGCTGTACGTTCTCGGACCAAAGCACAATCCCAGGACGGCTTTAGAACATGCAAGTATTCACGCCCGCCTAGTAGTATTTGCCTGCAATTTTTGCTTGCACACACACACACATGCACGCACGCACGCACGCACGCATGCACGCACGCATGCATGCACGCATACACATGCGTGCACATGCACACATCCGAACACACGCACATGCGCATGCACATGCACACGCATACACACAGCATTGCTGATGAGCTGTTTCTGTGCATTGGTCTATCGTTTCGAACGTATGGCTGTCCCGTGTCTTACCTAATATTCTGTTGCTGACCACAGATGGAGATAATGCCCGGCGAGAATATACATAACCTAGCCAGCGACAAGCACATTACGGTGTGCACCATTGGTCAGCTCTACTTACTCATGGGAAAGGAACTGGAAAGATTGGACGAAGTGCCTGCTGGAAACGTTCTTGGTACATATAAAAAGTTTCTCTCAGTTAGATCCATAATAAGTTATAATTACTTACAACGACGAAATTTTCGTCCATCTCTCCGATGGAGACTTGCTTAGGTCTGATGTTTCCAGGTAGATGGTAGCACTGGAAACAAAGTTCGAAGTTTGTTTAAACTAGACGATTAAACTATGATTTCTATTAGTAACATTATCGTGTCAGTGAGGGGTGACTGCCTGCCGTTGACTAACATGGGTATTTCTTCTGCAGGCATCGGGGGCCTGGCTGACCACGTGCTGAAGTCGGCTACGATCTCAAGTACGGTCGCGTGCCCGGCGTTCACTGACACATACATGAGTGCGTCGGCCATTCTGCGTGTGGCCCTCGAACCGAAGCATGCTAGTACGTATGACGCAGTGTAACACCACTGCAGAGCTCTCCCCAGGCCTGTTGGGTTCGATGTGGCTTCAAAGCTGACATTCATTTGCGACCTACCATGAATCCACAAGCCTTCATTCTATTATCGTTCTATTATTATCGTTATTATCGTTATTATCGTGTGGGAGGGAATGATGAGGTAGTGAGAGAGAGAGAGAGAGAGAGAGAGAGAGAGAGAGAGAGAGAGAGAGAGAGAGAGTCACGGATAGGGAGAGGGTGAACAAGAAGGCGAGAGAAGTAACTATATTAGAAGGTATATGTGCATCAGTGCCTGTGTGTTCCGTTTGTGCCGTACGTGCGTTTGTCTGCGCGTGTGTACTGTCCCTCCCTTCCCTTCCCTTCCCTTCTTCCGTTTCTTTAGTTTGGAAAAGTCATTAAAATTCCAGATCTAGATAATCAATATTTTAATAATACGAATGCTATCATTTCAACTCAGAATAATTTAAAGAAAGTGTTTCTTTATTAGCAAAATAAACCTTTTTTTTACATTATGATACATCAACAGCTGTAATTTTTACTGTTTAACAAAACAATAAGCAGACTTCATAAAATTTCTGCAAAATATTTACAAATTTCAATAACAACATTAAAAATGTCTATATAAATGCATAAATTGTAAAACAAACTATTGTAAATGTAATCATGCATGCAGATACAAACAACATATTCACACTGAATATGCAGAGAGCCCTTTCAGTTGGATTCCTGCAACGATGCCATATCAGAATTTTCCAAAACGGCCACTAAGTGCTAAAATAGGACAAATGACAAACATAACACTATTGACCCTTTTTGCACCGTTTTACAGCCCATCATAGTAATACACACAACTGTGATTTGACCCTATTCTTTTATGTTTGGAAGTTAAATGATACAATTTTTCTTAAACTGTAGCATTGTATATTCTAAATGCATATAATTATTCAACAATGTAGAAATGTAGATTTAACTAATCTAAACAACCTTTGGTACCTAGACAGTAGACACTAATAACTGCACCACTCATTCTAACCTGCGCTGTTTATTTCTGCCATCTAGTGCCAAAAAATCTGAAATAGCATTGTTGCTGGAACACTGTACTGAATTACTTAATTAGAGCACTTGCGTGTTCAGAGTACAAATATATTTATGGTATGAATAATACAACTAACTAACATTGGCACACACTGTTTGTATCTAGATGCACGTATCTAGATATGCCACACCGCACGTCAGGTATAAAAAAGAACGACGTATGATTCCAAAACTAATCATTATAACTGATATCGGATATCGAAACGCAACCTTTACATAAAGACATGCCTCGCCATGGAGACAATTAAGCTATTTAAACTTTAGATGTCAACCATGAGACCTTGATAATTCAGGTAGCTATGAGACATTGAGAAATGTCAACTGTCAGACAGTCGACTTCAGCCAGCTATGAGACACTGAGACATGTCAATTGTGAGGTATTGAGACTTGAGCTAGTTGTAAGACATTGAGATATGTCAATTGTGAGACGTTGGGATTTCAGTAATTATTGTTATTATAGCTTATTATCGTTATTATCGATTATTATCGATTATTATCGTTATTATCGATTATTATCGTTATTATCGATTATTATCGATTATTATCGTTATTATCGATTATTATCGTTCTATTCCCTCATTGTAACGTCTTAATTTCCAGCGGAGTTTACTTTCGACAATCTCGTAATGACAGCAGATGCTTATCGTTGTAACGGAAGGCGGTTGCCGCGGTAACGACGGGCGGTAGTCGTGGTTAATAACAGCGGTCGCCGCGGTAACGCCGTGCATTGTCGTGGTTAATAACAGCGGTCGCCGCGGTAACGCCGTGCGTTGTCGTGGTAACTGAAGCGACAATTGTCGTGTTGCAGGCGAGATGCCGCAGCTCGTGCGCGGCATGCGCCTGCTCAATCAGGCCGACCCTTGTGTGCAGGTCGTCGCCCAGGAGACCGGAGAGAACATTCTCGTCACCGCTGGAGAGATGCATCTGCAGCGTTGCCTTGACGACCTACGCGAGAGGTAGGTGGCGCCCTCTGTTTGATCAATGCTGTATATGCGAGTCGGAAGGCTGCGGTCGGTCGTCGCTGCGGTTAACGTTCGTTTGTTTTTTGCGAATTTTAGGTTTTCGAAGATCGAGCTGGATGTGTCGCCGCCGATCGTGCCGTTCAGAGAAACGATCGTTGCCGAGCCGAAGGTCGACATGGTCAACGAAGTCATCGATGACGTGACAAAGAAACCTGCGAGAAGGTGAGTGCTTGTATGAGGAAGCTGTCAGCTAGGTTGGTAGGGTGCCTGGCTTCAGGCATGAGAATTTTCTGTGGATTCGCGGATTTCAGGGTTTTGGTTTTCATTTTAGTCATTCTTGAGATTGATGCAAAAAACTAATAAAAAGCTTAGGGGTGTAATATGTACTTTTTTGTCAAAATTGATGCCATTTTTAATTTAAACTTTATAAAAAGTCAGGAAAAATACGTCAAATTTCACACAGAAGTAACAGAACTCCAGATAAATATTGCGATGTATCTATGTAATGTAAATTAAGGCATGCTTTAAGTTAACCGCCACATAAAACTTTGAATTGTTAGTAACGATATTGGTCTTTTACTAAGAACGGAATGGACTTACAATTTTCCCCAGAATGCTTGAAAATGGCCTATCTGCCCTTCCAAAATTCAAAAATTGAAATATTTCCTCCAAAAACATCTCAACACTAGCCTGATTCAAAGAGCTTGGGAAGATAGAAATGGCAATAGGACCTTGTTGGCAGCGAATTTATTGCTATTGTTGTTTTTGTTGATGTCGTTGATGTTGTTGTTGTTGTTGTTGTTGTTGTTGTTGTTGTTGTTGTTGTTGGTAGTGGTTGTTGTTGTTGTTGTTGTTGCTGTTGTTGTTGTTGTTGTTGTTATTGTTACATGCGTCTCTGATTGCAAAAATTCTTTATCGGTCATAGTCTATCTAATCAATCTAATGATATTCTTTTATTCTATCTAATATTATACTATTCACATTTAACATAATGTTATACTATTCACGTTTAACATAATATTATAATGTTTACCGCCCAGAATGTGCGATTGCTACTGCAGATTAAACAGCAGAAATGGTTTGCACATCTTGACTCGTGTTGACGTGCTGTGGAACGTTGTCAGGGTGAACTATGATGGGGATGAAGAGGCTGCGACTGCGGAGGAGGCGCGCGAACCCTGGGTCGAGGTGAAAACACGTAACGGGCTGATCACGATGAAGATACAAGCCGTGCCTCTACCCGAGCAGGTGACGAAGATACTGGAGCGGAATGCCGAAAACCTGAAAACGCTCGGTGAGATAGAGTGACTGTGGTGCCAGCTGTAGCGTAGAACTAGTCTAGTGGTTCAATTAACACGTGAATGTAGATGTGTAGTTGTGCTCACTGCCTTCTATTTGGCAGTGTCTGTTGGTAAGGATCACTTCACTTGGCATTGTATTAAAGTCATGTTGTACTTGGATGCTCGGTTCTTGCATGGCATTAGTAACTTGTTTCCAAATTTTAATTAACTAGTTAGTCGATGAACATTAACTGAATCCTTTGCTATCCTATAGATCAGTGAATTATTTGATCGAATACGTCAATGAACTATAAATTAATCCGGTGCTATCAACTAATTTGGTCTAATGCACAGATGAATGGTAACTGAATCCTTTGCTCTGTCATAGACCAGTGTATTAATTTTATCGAATATGTTGATGAATGTTAACCGAATCCTTCTCTCTTCTGTATCGACCAGTTTGATCGAATATGTCGATAAATGCTAACCGAATACTTCTCTCTTCCGTATCGAGCAGTTTGATCGAATATGTCGATAAATGCTAACCAAACGCTTCTCTCTCTCTCTCTCTCTCTCTCTCTCTCTCTCTCTGTCTTTCGTATCGAACAGTTGACTGCACGGCGGTGAAGGGAGAGGCGGCGGGCGGGCTGGAGACGCTGAGCAGCGAGCGACTACACACGCTGCGGGAACTACGCGACAAGTTACGCCAAGCCTTCACCTCCGCCGCTGCCGACGACGACGCATCACTCTGGGAGGGCGCCAACGACAAGCTGTGGGCGTTCGGTCCGCGCCGCACCGGCACCAACGTGTTGCTGAACGCGATCCCAGGCTACCGGCAGCCGAGCGTGTGGCGCGGGCTCGACGACGACCAGCAGGCGGCGCCGCCGGAGGGGGTGCTGGCGGCGTGCGACAGCAGCCAGCAGGGGGCGCTGGGCCATGCTGGCGACGTGCGACAGCAGCCAGCAGGGCGGCGCTGGGCGTGCTGGCGACGTGCGACAGCAGCCAGCAGGGGGCGTGGGGTCTGCGCGCGGGGCGCAGCAGCGTGGTTAGCGGCTTCCAACAGGGGCGCTGGGCGTGCTGGCGGCGTGCGACAGCAGCGTTGTGAGCGGCTTCCAGCAGGGGGCGCTGGGCGTCGCTGGCGGCGTGCGACAGCAGCGTTGGTGAGCGGCTTCCAGCTGGCAACGCTCGCGGGCCGATGTGTGAGGAGCCGATCACAGGACGTGTGCTTCGTGGCAGAGACTGGACGCTGCGAGTTCGCCGCCGCCGGCCCGCAGGTTGCCGCGGCGAGCCGACGCCGGAGACGGGGGAACGTGCGACGCCGCGAAGCCGACTTGGGACGAAAGCGTGAGGCGCTCCACCGTGCTGGTCGATGTGGTACAGACCGGGGGAGATAGCATAGCGGGAGCCACGCGTGCAGTAGGATGGGGAAGAACAGGAGGCGCCACCGTGCCGGACGATGTGTAGATGGAGAGACACAGGAGGGCGCCACCGTGCGCCGGCGTGTGTAGATGGGGGCACAGAGGGCGCCACAATGCTCGGTTTGATTGGGTAGATGGGGAGACACAGCCCGAGGGCGCCAGCGTGGGCCGGTCGATGGTGTAGATGGGGGAGACACAGGAGGGCCGCACCGTGCCGGTTCATGTTGTAAGATGGGGATCGGGGACACAGAGGGCGCCACCGGTGCCGGGCGTAGTAGTGTGGTGGGTGCGCATGAGCAGCGATGAGGAGAGAGACGCACACGGCGCAGGTGGTGCGCCCCGCAGGTGGCGCGATGAAGGCGTGCGAGAAACGCGGGGCCGGCGGGTCATCGGGCGACAGTCGGGCCGGGCGGCGGTCAGCGGCGTGTCCGATCTGACGCTGGCTGCGTGCGAGGCCGGCAGTACGCGCCCCATCTCGCGGCCAGGATGTCAGGGTGAAGGAGGGATGCCCGCCACGGCCTTCCAGATGGCGGCCGCCAGAGGCTGATATGCCATGTACTCGTCCTATCCACGGCAACCCGGCAGAGGTGCTCCGGTGACTGAGCGTGGCGGCTTGGTGGATAAGTGGCAGTGCGGCGTGGTTAACTAAGTGGGTTGGGTTAGGTCTAGGGTTGGGGTTCTGATCGGGCTACGGTTTGGTATTAGGTTGGTCTCACGAAGCCTGATGTTGTGCATGATTGCAGGGTGCAGCTAGTAAGGCTCATCAGCATTAATGGCAGCGGCTTTTTCTGACGGAAAATTGGACAAAGGAGTGTAATGGCAGTTCTGGCAAAAATGGCGCATGATGGATTCAGGGGAAATAACAATGAAAAAGTCTCTGCCCCGCATGACATATCTCAATATACGCCATAGCACATCTGAGAATATGCCAGAAACACGTGGTGATCTTTGTATTTTTTAGTCATTTGACTAGATCGCAGATGCAGCTTGGTAGAATCGCCATAGCGTGACGTCTCGTCCGTCCGGCTGTGCGTCCGTGGTCAACAGTTGGGCAGAAATACTTCAACCGCTTGACGTACGGTCACGATATTCGGAGTCGGGAACGTCGAGGATAATCGATAAAACGAGTTCTAGGATTGAAGCTGGGGGCTCAAAGGTCAAAGGTCAAGGAGGTGCTAAAAGAGAAGAGGAATTTCTCTCGTACTTTAAGGTATAGGGACGGGAAACTGCAGTCGAGGGAAACAATTGGCGGAAAGATTTTCGGACCTGGTACCTTTTCAAGCTCGCGTGCATGAAGATACTACACTTCTAAAATTTCGGTTTGCATTGAACTCTATGGCAAATTTACAGGGGTTCTTTTGCCCAATTCGGCGGCTCTTTTAGGCAGTTTCGGGGGCTAAACGCCGCGAGCCCCCGATGTATTTTTTTCACTACGAATGGGAGGAATTGGCCAAATCTAACCGGTCGACTAGGTCGTGTGTCGGCCGTGCCATAGCATCATGGGTAGGACAAGCATTACTGTGCCGAAATTGGAGGGCACAGGTCAACAGGCTTACTCAATGGCAGATGTAGAACATTTTCTTGAGGCATGGTCTGACGGAGCCAATTGAAACTTTTTGTTTCGCGGTGACCTACATTATGGCTTGTGAAAAGGTACATAACTGTCTTCCCAATGACTGCCGAAGAGTAGTGTGTCTGATAACCTCTTTGACTTCTCCAAGAGAGGCGTTAAACATGATTTGTTGACTGTTAACACACAGGACTGAATGCTCTTTGCTATATAGACGCAGTGTGTGTGTGTGCGTGTTGCCCCATGGGCCCGCGTCGTTACGCCGGTGCTGTAACGGTAATGTGTCCCTCGGTGCGTGTGTGCCAGGGGCTCTGTACGGTGCCCTGTAACGTATGTGTCGTGCGTAACCTTGCCAGGGCGCGCCGTGTACGACCCAGGTGCCCTGCTAACGTAATGTGTTCGTGGTTGCGTGCCTTGCCAGGGTGGTGTACGGGTGCCTGGTTAACCGTAAATGTTACCGCCACAGCTCGCGCTGAGACTCGGCAGGTTGAGAACGAACCGCCCAGCCCGTCGGCGGCCGGCACGCGCGGGGAGCACGCCCTCGCCCATGTCCCGCACCACGGGCTGCCGCAGAACCTATGGGGGTAGCTTACGGCGAGCTGTGAAACACCAGGCTGCCACGAACCAGCGTAATGGAGTCTGCAGTCAACGTATGTGCTCAATCGTGCGTGCTTGCCGGAAGTGCTTACGACAACTGGTGGTACCGTATGTTGTCCGTGACCCTGATTGAACGGTCGGTGTACGCACGGAGCCCTCCTAGTGCAACTTATGTGTCCGCGACCCCGTAATGTTGCGCAGGTCCGCGTGTACCGCGCTGCCACCGCCTGTAAACGTTACTGTCGCCGCTGCCCCCGTGCTTGCAGGTTCGTGTCGCTACCGACCGTTGCTTTAACTTTACCGTATGTCATGTATGTGCACCTCAGCGACATGCCCAGGGCGGTTACCAGCCCGGGGCTGTGCGCATACGCTATTGTGGTACGTTCGTCGCGATGCCATTAGTAGGGGGCTCCATACGCCGGTGATGCTTACCGCACACTCTTGGTGCGTGTTGGTGCCGTGCGGCCCAGCGTCCGGGGTACGACCACGTGCTGTACTAGGGTCCGTCTGCTTGCCAGGTGCGCGTTGGTAAGACCGTGCCACTCTGGTCCGTCTGCTGTTTCCGTGCAGTGACATTGACCAGGGCGGGCGAGTGTACCGTCACCCGTCACTGTAGTGACGTGTCGCACTGCCGTGTTGCAGGGCCTGCACGATGTCCGAACCAGGCGGTGACCTGTAAGTACTGCGTACCGAGCCCCGCCGCAGGGCCGCGGTGTACCCACCCGGGGCTGTAAGCGTTATGTGTCCAGTGTGAGTGCCCCTTGCCCAGGGGGCGTGTACAGGCGGCCCCGCCTCTGCCTAAGTTCGATGTCCGTGCCACGCTGCTTGAAGGGCGCGACGTGTCCGCCACACCGCGATCGTCTGTGTCAGTGTCAGTTGTGCCACCCGGCCCGGCCCCCGCCCTCCTGCTTGCAGGGCGCGTGTACGCGCGGCTGTAACGATAACTGGTGTCGTTGGCCGTGTGCAAGGCGCGTGTACGCCGGTGCTGTAACGTATGTGTGGCAGTGGCTTGCAGGGCGCCGTGTACGCGGCTGCCCTGTAACGTATGGTCGATCGTGTGCGTGCTTGCCAGGGCGGTCGTACGGGCCCGGTGCCCCAGTTAATCCGATGTGCGTCGCCGGTGCCGTGCTCTGCACACGGGTGGCCTGGCTCGTTCACCGCTCCGGATGCTGTAAACGTATGTTCCGCCCTAATGCGATGGCTTGCAGGGGCGCGATGTCCCGCCGGTGCTGCTACCTTACAGGTTCCCTCCTGTGCTCTCGTGCTGCAGCCGCGCGCGTACGCCGGTGCTGTAACGCTAGTGTCGTCCGTGCAGCGCTCTGCAGGGCGCTCGGTTACCGAGGTGCTGGAACCTAGGCTGATCAGCTCCTTGTGTGCGTGGCTTGCAGGGCGGTCGCCTGTGTGATAACGCGTTCCGTGCGTATCCGCTTGCCAGGCGCTGCCCGTGTTACGCGTGCCTGTACGTCATGTGTCGTGTGTTGAGCGCGTCGCGCCGGTGCCCCCTTCGTAACGCGTATGTGTTCTCCCGTGTGACACCCGTGCTTGCCACGGGCGCGTCGTAACCCCACGTGCATGTTAAAAACGTAATGTGTCGTGGCACCTGCGACCTTCATCTCATCTCCGATCCACATCCCGTGCTCTGCAGCGGGCGCGTCGTAGCGGCTGCCTACGTACTTGTGTGTCTGTGCTGTTGCAGGGGCCGTGTACGCGGTGCTGTAACGTATGTGTCGTGTGCGTGCTTGCAGGGCGCGTGTACGCGGTACTGTAACGTATGTGTCGTGTGCGTGCTTGCAGGGCGCGTGTACGCGGTGCTGTAACGTATGTGTCGTGTGCGTGCTTGCAGGGTGCGTGTACGCGGTGCTGTAACGTATGTGTCGTGCGTGCTTGCAGGGCGCGTGTACGCGGTGCTGTAACGTATGTGTCGTGCGTGCTTGCAGGGCGCGTGTACGCGGTGCTGTCGCGGCGTCACGGCCGCGTGCTCAGTGAGGACATGAGGGAAGGCTCGCAGGTGTTCAGCATCCACGCAGTGCTGCCCGTCGCCGAGAGCTTTGGCTTCACGGAGGAGATGAGGAAGCGAACGAGCGGCCTCGCCATGCCGCAGCTCATGTTCAGCCACTGGGAGGTGAGCTTGTTCACGCGCGCGTGCACGTGTGCGTGTGAACAGTGTGTGTGAACAGTGTGTGTGAACAGTGTGTGCGAACATCATGTGTGAACATTGTGTGTGAACATTGTGTGTGAACATCATGTGTGAACATTGTGTGTGAACATCATGTGCAAACATTGTGTGCAAACATTGTGTGCAAACATTGTGTGCGAACATCGTGTGTGAACATCATGTGTGAACATTGTGTGTGAAGAACATTGTGTGCGAACAGTGTGTGTGAACATTGTGTGTGAAGAACATTGTGTGAACATCATGTGCGAACATTGTGTGTGAACGTCATGTGCGGACATTGTGTGCGAACATTGTTTGCGAACATTGTGTGCGAACATCGTGCGTGAACATTGTGTGCGAACATCGTGTGTGAACATCATGTGTGAACATTGTGTTTGAACAGTGTGTGTGTGAACATTGTGTGTGACGAACATTGTTTGTGAACATCATGTGTGAACATTGTGTGTGAACATCATGTGTGAACATTGTGTGTGAACACAGTGTGTGTGAACACAGTGTGTGTTCACACAGTGTGTGTTCACACAGTGTTCGTGAACATATTGTGTGAACATATAGTGGGTGTGACAATAACAGGGCCAATTAAAATGACGCATAAAATGAGTTTTTCAAATGAAGACCAAAAAATATGTAAAAAAAAAACTGCATCATAAGTAAAAGCCAAGTGGGTGCTTATTATTGCAATAATCGATTAAAATACCGATCATTAGAACAGAAGTGACATAATATAGATCATCTGATTATAATACGAATAATGATTACTATCATGACATACTGTTGTTATGCTAATCACTATTATTATCATTGCTATGATGTACTATTGTTTACCATCTACTATAATAACAACATGATGATAATTAGAGTTAATTTGCTAACATGTGGTGTCTTCTGCGACTGCCTTTGACAGGTGATGGACACAGACCCGTTCTGGGTTCCCACGACGGAGGAGGAGTATCTGCTATACGGAGAGAAAGCCGACTCGGAGAACCTTGCGCGCAAGTTTATGAATGGCGTGCGGCGGCGCAAGGGACTGTCGGTGCAAGAGAAGATCATCCAGCATGCTGAGAAGCAGCGCACTCTGGGGAGGAACAAGTGAACGTGTCACGGTCACGTGCCACTCGTCAGAGGGGGAATCGTCCGTCGTGTTGGGAAGCGGTTAACTCTTGGAATAAAAACAAATGAACGTGTTGACGTCACACGCAAACTCATCAGACTGGGTTAGTCGTCTGTCGTGAAGCGGCGCACTCTGTGGAGGAACAAGTGAACGTGTCGTCATCACACGTTGCTTGCCAGACCGGCCAGTCATCCAGCGTTCGCAGCCATGTGATCTAGAAGCAAGTGATCATGTCGAAATACGTCGACAAGCACTTTCCAAAGACGTTAGTCATCATGCTTATAGAACAGTATGTTGTGAGAATTGAATGTGTACTATAGAGCAAGCAGCAACAGCTAGAGAGCACTGTGTGAGCTTTATGAAGCTTCTGTTGCTAATGTTGAAGAACTGCAGCATTCTGAGAGCACATGAAGAAACATGTGGACATGTTTATTTATTCTCACAAATCAACAGGAATGAAGAAAGCTAGAATGAAGAGGGTAGATTGATTAACTGACTGGTAGCTATCATTTTAAAATTATTTGGAAAACAGAGCAAACCTATGCTTTTAATATGAAACGTGTTGAATATATAATCTGTAGTTTGGAAAGTTATTAAATTTCCTGATCTAGATAATCAACATTTTTATAATGCTAATGCTATCATTTCAACTCAGAATAATGCTTAAGTAATTTAAAGAAAGTTGTTCTTTATTAGCAAAATAAAACTTTTCTACATTATAATACATCAACAGCTGTAATTTTTACTGTTAACAAACAGGGTTTCCACACCCCCTTGAAAGTCCTTGAATTTTGTCCTTTGTCCTTGAAAGTCCTTAATTTTTCCTTTTGTCATTAAAAGTCATTGGAAATATGTCCAAGTTCTTATTTTATGTCTAATGTCCTGGAATTTTACATTTTTGACCTAAAATAAAAAGCCAGTCTTCATCGCTGGTTATCTGACTGACCCTATTCCAAGTCTTCGATAAAAATGTTAAATTTAATTCAAAATTCACATGTCATTGTCTGCTAATGTACTCAACTTCTAATGTACTACAAATACCAAAGTAGTTTGTTTTGTCCCTAATTTCTACGTGCAGGTGGTGTAGCAGTCAAGATAAGTTCATCATTTTAATATTATTTATTACTCACTGTTTATATTTTGCTACACAATTGTGTTAATTTGTGTGTAAATTGTGTGTAGGAAAATACACACTGAGTAATAAATAAAAATCATTATAATAGTTACATAGTCACGATCCCTGCTCCTGCCACCCATGACTAGAAAGAGGGGAAACGAACTAGTTTTAGCAGATACTGTTCTGTGAATTTTGGATTAAATTTAATATTATTTGTTATTATTTGTAAAGATTTGAGACAAGGAGAATATGGTATCTTTCATGGGTTGGAAACTGAAGAAGATCTTTAATTTGACCAACTCAGCAAGTACTATTAGCAAGAAATTTATAGAGAAAGGATTGCTCTCATTAAATTAGGGTGTAATAACAACTATTTTTTACTTTATATATGAATCTAATGTATATATGATGACTCTAAAATGCTAAAACTACTTGTCACAGATAATAGGCGCGTTCACACACAAGAAAAACCGCGATGCTAATCGCGATGAAATACCGAGATAATTGTGTCGTTGTTCACACAGGCGAATAATCTCGCTAATCGCCGAGCGGGATAATTCTATTAATCGAACTGCGCATACTCACTGCCGGAATGATGGACCAACACCTAATAACGTGCACACTCATTCTAACTCTGCGCTGTTTATTTCTGCCATCTAGTGCCAAAAAAATCTGAAATAGCATTGTTGGCAGGAACAGCGTACTGAATTACTTATAGAGCACTTGCATGTTCAGAGTACAAATATATTTATGGTATGAATAATACAAGCTAACTAACATTGGCAGCACAACTGTTTGTGTATCTAGATGCACGTTATCTAGTATATGCACCCCGCACGTCAGGTATCAAAAAGACCACCGTATGATTCCAAATACTAATCATTAAAACTGATATCGATATCGCAACACGCAACTTTACCATAAAGACATGCCTCGCGCATGGAGATCAATAAGCTTATTTAAATCGTTGTAGATGTCAACCATGAGACGCTTGAGGAATTCAGGTAGCTGATGAGACATTAGACGAAATGTCAGACTGTCAGAAGGCGACTTCAGCCCAGCTATGCAGACACTGAGACATGTCATATTGTGAAGGTATGAGACTTGAGCTAGTTGTAAGACATTGAGATATGTCAATTGTGAGACGTTGGGATTTCAGCTAGTTGTGAGCATGAGATACGTCAGCTGTGTGCTGCACGGATCAGGTCGAGTAGCAGGTGAGACAGCTAGTTGTGAGACATTTGAGACACGTCAGCTGTGTTCTGCACGGATCAGGTCGAGTAGCAGATGAGACAGTGGTTGTGAGACATTGAGATACGTCAGCTGTGTGCTGCACACGGAATCAGGTCGAGTAGCAGATGAGACAGTGGTTGTGAGACATTGAGATACGTCAGCTGTGTGCTGCACGATCAGGTCGAGTAGCAGGTGAGACAGCGGTTGTGAGAAGAGTGGAGTTGCCATCACAGATCTCAGCTTCTGGCTCCAACTTCCACATCTCCCACTAGAGGGACTCTGCTGAAGCAAATGAAAACACAAATCAACCTTACCTAAGTAACTACACACTTACTTTCGACGACACCTATCACAGACCTAGTTAACGTTACTGACGGAATCACTGATCCCTGTAATGAGTAATGCA